ATGTAATATATGAATCTTCCACGAGAATCAATTGCTAGATCTGCTGCTGGTAAGTTGATTCCCTGTGTTGATAAACATACTTTCTCGCCAGAATCTATCCCATTTCTAAGTCTACCATTCGTTCGTATATCGAATATTGCTGTCACATCTGCCCTTCTGCTTCTACTATGTATTTAGAGATTCTTAATAAATTACAAAGAAAAATATGTTATTGGTCCTGTCCTGTCGTTTCATTTCGGCTTCAATCAATTTCCGTGACTCATTTATAGAAAAAGACACAGGTATGCTACGTAACGGTGATGGGAAAGTGACTGAACATGTCAGGTCATATGACCAATAACAATATTTTCATGGCAATTGTTCTGATGAGCTTCCCGTTTTGGCTCATAGACTTTATGAATTTTAGTGCAGTACGAGTTTGGAAGCAAAGTCTCATCATTTTACAGTTGAAATGGCTAGATGTAACCGCAAGTTCTATGGTAACAGTTTCTTCTCTCGCACTTCTTGCTTGTGAAACTCTCTTCTGGTTTTCCAATAAACTTTGAACTTCAAAAATTTAAATGCAATGTCAATTATTATCTTCTGTGTTAATTCATATTCTCTCTCCTTAATGTTTTCCTTTTTCTTATTATTCTCCCAAACTCAATAACCCCCCTTGCCTCTTAGCGGCTATATTGCCTTGCTTGGGGTGAGATGATTAATAAAAAATGATATACCAATCTATTCTGGGAATGCGAATAAAAAAGAGAACGAGTGCGTTGTGACGCGTTTTGTTTGAAGAAATAATATTTTACGACTAACAGTTTTTGTGATGGCGACATTTATATATATATATATATATATATATATATATATATATATATATATATATATATATAACAGGACTATCTTGTCATTTTCGACGTATGAGGGCACAGCATCTCAGAACCGAACAGCTAGTACGTGTGATTATATAATATCAACCATCTGGTTATAGTGTTGAATGCGTGTGTAAAACCAACCACACTTTTTAGAAGAGCCGAATAAAAAGAATAAGTGTGACACAATCTCCCCAAAAGATCACCCTCAGTTTTTGAATTTGAGTTGGTGTTATATAGGAATAAATTGTCGTCGACCCTTGGCGATGCCATTATTGAATTAAAAGGACTACGCCACCATAGTGGAAACGCATATATAGGAAGTCGCGTGACGTATGACGATCGCATATCTATTCTATCCTCTCTACTAATCGCCATTTCTAATCTATCCTCTATTACTATACGAAGCGCTATTCTTTACTCTATTCACAATACTATCTCTCTATTCAGATCACTATACAGATTACTATTCGAGTAAGTATTATTGAGCAAGTACTATTAGTGTGAGTGATATTCGAAGGTGTCTGACACCGGTATTATTCAACAGCGTCACTACAGATGTATCTGCGATTACAAAGTCTCTACTACAACGAGCTTTACGAAAGTGACAACGAGTATTTGTTAGCATCACAAAAGTTGGCTTTCTCATAGACTGGTTTCCACCCAAGTCTATAGGACCCAGTCTATCCTGCCATTTATCCATAGATGGAGAGAAAAAGAGATGGATTCATGCCTTTGCCAGTGGTGTCTGTACTGAAGTGAATTTAATTAACTCAACTGGAATTCAAACTTCGAGTCTTCGGTTCCTTAAACCGAGTCATTGTCCATTTACACCACCTTGCTTCCTCTTTATAGACATTTCTCAAGATTTATTTGATTTATTTTCAATTCCACACTTTTATTATTTCAAATGTTATACACACCGTTTAATAAATAAAAATAGGCGTCTATTTCAAATACGAAGTACCTCTATAAGAGCGTTTGATTTAATAAAATAGTCGGATTGAAAATAAGTACATTAATTCTTTAGAAAATCCCTTTTTTTAACGTTTCCGATACGAAACTATAGTCATTGCTCTTTAAATCCAATTGTAACACAATGCCGGTATTTGCTAAGCGTAGCGGAAAAGTACTGCCACCCTATGAGAATCGAACTCACTACTAAGAGATTTAATGATGCAAGCTTGCTAACCATTGCACCACATCGACATACTCTTGCTGATACTAAACTGAGAAAATATGAAGCTTTTGAGAAAATAACCTGAATGAAGATGTGATTTTCTTAGAACAGAAAAATAGAATTTTGTTTTCTGTTACGCTCTTTGTGGCCGAACGGTAAAGCGCACCGGTTCACACGTTTTTTTTTTTAACCTACAGGTGCAGGTTCGATCCATGACGGAGATAGCATTTCCTTTACTACCGGCTTTTTCGAATCCATAGCGATAGCGGGGAAAATTTTAAATAGTTTTGTATCAAAAACGTTTAAAAATAAACAGCAATTCCTTTGAAATTCATATGTTGACGTCGTACGTATATAGATGTTTAACTGAGTGGATCTTGTTCTGCTTTTCATCGCTTTTGAATTTGATCTTAATTTTAATCGTTACAAAACATGTAAACCTGACTCCATCGATAAAGTACTTATTAGTCTGAAGACGTTCCCTCTCAGAAGAAAACATGTCACTTTTCAGTTTATTCTATTGAGGTATTCGCTTACTCATATGCCTCTATACCAGGGGGTTCTCCACCTGTGGGGATTTCAGGGTTTCATTCGAGGAGGGGGGAACCTACTTTTTCGCCAGTTTCTCATTGACTGTAATCTTCATCAGAATAAAATCGATTGAACAACCCTGATCTTGTATTGAACAATTTGCTTAGTGCATTTTATTATTGTTTATTGAAGTCTGCTTCAGTTTAATTGTTTAATAATTAGTTATTAATTAAAACAAATTTCTGTACATGTATTCAAGTTTTAAAATTAATTCTCATTTTCTATTTCTATGGGGTTGAGGTGAGGAGATTGGGGTGGCCATGTCATAACACTCACCTACTTCTCATCAAAGTATTTCTTCATCAATTTTGATTTGTGACAGGGAGCATTATCCTACATAAAAATGAGCTTGGTGGGGTCGATTTGCACCCTTTCAGCAGAAGGGAGCAGACAAGACTCTAAAATTCTCTTGTACTGCTCGCTCCTGGGGGTCTTTTCAATAGATTTTAACAAACCAGTTCAATGAAAAGAAAAGGATCCCCAGAACATTATATTGAACGGATGCTTGACAGTACTTACTGCTAAATTCAAAGAGCTTTCAAAGCTTCTTCTTCGGATTTTAGATCGCTTATCCATTGAATTTATCTCAACTTTCGTTTCATCAGAGAAGAGAACATTCTTCCAGTCTTCTACGGTGAAATTTTTGTAATAGTGAGCCTATTCAAGTCTCTTGGTTTTGTTGGCTTTGCTTATTAGCGGCTTAAACCTTCGTCTGCAAGATTTGTAGCCTTGTTCTAACAACCACCGACGGACTGTTGAAGAGGCAAGACTAACACCTTGCTCTTCGCTTAGACTGGCTGCAATTTCTTGGCTAGTTATAGTCCTATTCTTTGCAACTTCTCTCTTGATTACCCTGCCAGTTCTATCATCAATCTTTTTCTTTCGTCCCCTTGTTTCCTTCCTTGGAGCAGGAGTGGCACCATTATGTGCCCTAAGCAGTCGAGAGACAGTTGATTGAGAGGTTATAGCAATTTCTGCAATTTCTCTCGTACACTTGTCTGATTTTGAGAGGACAATAATAGATGCCTTAAGTGGTTCTGAGTGGCTATTTCAAGCAGTTTTTATACTTTATGAGGCTTTCTGGAATATTCTAGAATACTCTAGATTTAATTTAAGCTGTTCTAGAATTCTCTAGAATATTGTTCTGAGTGTATTGTAAAATAGTTTTCAATATTTTGTCAAAAGTTCTTTAAATTTACCAATTTAATCATTAGAATGCGATATCTGAGTCACTTTTTTTTGCACAGAGTTGTTTTCCTGAATCTCATTTATATCCAAATTTATAATTATCAATAGAATACCTTAGGGTGAATAAACTTTTTTTTCCTAAGTGGTCGGGAAGGGGTCTTTATATTAGTAGGATTAAAAATTATTTTAACCCCCCCCCAAAAAAAAAATAGACAAAAATATTTTTAGTAAAATCAGGTGAGTCACTTTTATCGAACAACATCGTATGTGTAATAAATTTTTTTTTTTTTATTAGTAATTCTTATATGAATGTATAACCAATAAAAGTACCGCTTTCTTTATTTTCAACTTATTACTACAGTAAAACCTATAGTAAAATATTGGGTCTGTTCATAAGTAATTTCCGTTTTGGTTTATTAAGTTTATTCTTCAAGAAATAAAGTAAAATTATATTTTATTCAATTATATATTCACCATTATTTTCCGCCGAACACTCGTATCTTGTCTTCGTTTGAGAAACTCTTCCACATCAAAGCCTTTTGCAGCGATCGATAATAATTGATTGGTACAAAGTCAGGTGAATATAGCCGGTGTGGACTAGACCAGACAAATAAGCTCCAAAATACTTTCAAGTGTTATTCATGCTGTCTACGGATTTGGGTTGTTATGGAAGAGAACAACAGTTTTCCTTTAATCCACGGTGTACGCTGCCATTTCCGTGTAAAAACTAATGTAGGTTAGTGTACTCTTATGTTATTTTTAAGTGCCAGGCATGATTGGTAGTTAAGATGATATATTCGTCATTACAATCGGTTTCCAAAAAACAGAAATGCCTTTTGTTTTATTGATTAACTTGATTCGTTTTTTCACGGCTTATCAACCCATTGCAGGTTATTTAAAGCACCTCCTCCTCTAAATTTTTAAATTGTAAAAAAAATTGAGATAATAATGATTTAGTGTTACAGTTCTTGCTAATTAATGCATAGCTGAGAAAGAAGTTATGTTCGAAAATACTGTTGATAAAGGTATCATTCCCCCTCTTCTACCCCCCGGCTATGGGTTAATTAGTAACATACTTTTCCCAAGGGTATTTGCACGTAAATGAATATAACAAGCCTATCGAACATTGGAACGTTGATTAACAATTCCGTACCATTATTCATCACACCACCCAGCACCAGATC